CAAAAGGGAGGACACTTTATTTTGCACACGTGGTGACCTTTCTTGCAGAATTTGACGAGTTTGTGGGTTCATTAACCACTTCCCGTCCAGCCCATGTATATAAACGGCCGGACGGTGGCAGTGCAGGGTCGGGTGGCCGTTTATAAACAGCCTCCCCACCCCCTGCTTGTGCACGCTCCCTGGGAGTGCGCAGCACCGCGATCCGGTGCCTGCTGTGTCCTCCGAACACCGATCGTCGGACGGGACCTCTGTGTGAGGTTCCCAATCATGTGATCACTGATTGGCCAATCAGTGATCACATGAAGAATAGTAAGCAAGATGTCACTTCTGACATCATTGCTTACTACGTGTGAAATCTGTGAATGATCACCGAGGTCACATGGTACAGGGCTATTCACAACAGCCTTGTACCATGTAACAAGCTGTGACCAATCACAGCTCACACAGTATTTCTCAATGGCTGCAAGAATGCAGCAGAGAGAAGGAGAAATGATTGCTTTTACAGCCTTTATGGGTGTAAAAGCAATCAGTGTAAAAAAAAAATAAAAAAATCTTCATAACCCCCCACAATTAGTACAGTTTAACTATGGTGACACTGTACTGCTAGGGTGACAGTATGTAAAACAAAAAAAAAAAAAAACAATAAATAATAATATAAAAAGATAAAATAAAAATAAAAAGGAAATTTGAAAAATTATAATTTTTGGTTATAAACTAATTTGGTTTATTTATTTGTTTTTGCTAAAAAGATAACTGAATACATTTTGGCCAAGATTTATGAATTATGATTATTTATTTGCAAAATTTTATAAGAAAAACACTTTTTTTCAAAATTTTTGGGCTTTTTTATTTATATAGCAAAAAAAAAAAAAAATCCCAGTGGTGAATAAATACCACCAAACTAAAGTTTTATCTGTCTCAAATTTTTTTAAAAAAATTCATATGGGTACAGTGTTGCATGACTGCGCAATTGTCATTCAAAGCGTAACAGCGCTGAAAGCTGAAAATTGGCCTGGACAGGAAGGGGGTGAAAGTGTCCGGACAGGAAGGGGGTGAAAGTGTCCGGACTGGAAGGGGGTGAAAGTGTCCGGACTGGAAGGGGGTGAAAGTGTCCGGACTGGAAGGGGGTGAAAGTGTCCGGACAGGAAGGGGGTGAAAGTGTTCGGACAGAAAGGGGGTGAAAGTGTCCGGACTGGAAGGGGGGGGAAAGTGTCCAGACTGGAAGAGGGTGAAAGTGTCCAGACTGGAAGAGGGTAAAAGTGTCCGGACTGGAAGGGGGTGAAAGTGTCCGGACTGGAAGGGGGTGAAAGTGTCCGGACTGGAAGGGGGGGAAAGTGTCCAGACTGGAAGGGGGGGAAAGTGTCCGGACTGGAAGTGGGTGAAAGTGTCCGGACTGGAAGGGGGTGAAAGTGTCCGGACTGGAAGGGGGGAAAGTGTCCGGACTGGAAGGGGGGGGGAAAGTGTCCGGACTGGAAGGGGGTGAAAGTGTCCAGACTGGAAGAGGGTGAAAGTGTCCGGACTGGAAGGGGGTGAAAGTGTCCGGACTGGAAGGGGGTGAAAGTGTCCGGACTGGAAGGGGGGAAAGTGTCCGGACTGGAAGGGGGGGGAAAGTGTCCAGACTGGAAGGGGGTGAAAGTGTCCGGACTGGGTGAAAGTGTCCGGAAGGGGGTGAAAGTGTCCAGACTGGAAGGGGGTGAAAGTGTCCGGACTGGAAGGGGGTGAAAGTGTCCGGACTGGAAGGGGGTGAAAGTGTCCGGACTGGAAGGGGGTGAAAGTGTCCGGACTGGAAGGGGGGGGAAAGTGTCCGGACTGGAAGGGGGTGAAAGTGTCCGGACAGGAAGGGGGTGAAAGTGTCCGGACTGGAAGGGGGTGAAAGTGTCCGGACTGGAAGGGGGTGAAAGTGTCCGGACTGGAAGGGGGGGAAGGGGGTGAAAGTGTCCGGACTGGAAGGGGGTGAAAGTGTCCGGACTGGAAGGGGGGAAAGTGTCCGGACTGGAAGGGGGGGGAAAGTGTCCAGACTGGAAGGGGAGTGAAAGTGTCCGGACTGGAAGGGGGTGAAAGTGTCCGGACTGGAAGGGGGGAAAGTGTCCGGACTGGAAGGGGGGAAAGTGTCCGGACTGGAAGGGGGGGAAAGTGTCCGGACAGGAAGGGGGTGAAAGTGTCTGGACTGGAAGGGGGGGAAAGTGTCCGGACTGGAAGGGGGGGAAAGTGTCCAGACTGGAAGGGGGGGAAAGTGTCCGGACTGGAAGGGGGGGGAAAGTGTCCGGACTGGAAGGGGGTGAAAGTGTCCGGACAGGAAGGGGGTGAAAGTGTCCGGACTGGAAGGGGGTGAAAGTGTCCGGACTGGAAGGGGGGAAAGTGTCCGGACTGGAAGGGGGTGAAAGTGTCCGGACTGGAAGGGGGGGAAAGTGTCCGGACTGGAAGGGGGGGAAAGTGTCCGGACTGGAAGGGGGGAAAGTGTCCGGACTGGAAGGGGGGGGGGGAAAGTGTCCGGACTGGACTTTTTCACATCAAAAGTCATATTTTGATATTCACTTTATGATATTTTGCGCTATGAAATATCCATACCTGGAATTCATCTTTAACTATCATTTCCAATGGGCAAAAGTGTTTATCCGCATTGTAACATTCTGTAAAAAGCCCATGTCACGTTGTGACAATGTCGCACCCCGCACTAAGCGCCCTTTTACCAGGCTTTTATACCAGGACCTGTTTTATGAAGTCCCTTTATCAGAGAATAGACCCCCTGACCTCCCACTAAATATAGACACACTTCCAGCTGCAGCAACATCGAGTCGCACAGAAAGTATGGCTATTGATTTCTTAGTGGGTTATCTTCCTCCATTCTAAGCTCCTGTTCATGTCTTTTATTTGAATGATAACAAGGGAAAGGGGACATTATTTCTTGCTTTTAATGTGACAATGCAAAAAGGATCAAGCTCAAAATAAGACACCGGAGCATCTCAGCGTGAACTAGGACAGACACCCCCTAATCAACGACGATCGATATCAGCAAAATAAATCTGGAGCACATGGGACTGCATGAGACAAATTAATTGCACTGCCACACAAAAATACAGCATATCAATAGGTATTTTTTTGGTCAGGCCATGTTTTATTTGAGACCGTTATGAAAGTCAAAATATAATTTTGGTGCAGAGAAAAGTATCCTCAACACTGAACATGCCACCCCCTGCCGATCACGACCTGCTGCTCATGCTCCAGGCTGTTCCTATGAGGAGAGGAGATTACAATACTAGCCAGAGCTCAAGATCAATCACTAGTTTTGACATCATTCTCAAGAATTATCCTTCTACGACAGTCATTCTCAACCAGGGTTCCTCCAGAAGTTGCTAGGGGTTCCTTGAGCAATGACTAATTCACCTCCCATCTCATGGATCCTGCATAGTTCCAGGTCCAGCATCACTTGCATCGATGATCTTTTTTAGCTGGACATTCTTCCCACTGGCCACCAATGTAAGAGGCATTTGCCTAATAACCCCTGATGGACTATTCGTAGGCAGGCCATAGACAATTTGATTTTCCTTCCTTGCACCATGGTTGGAAGAAGAGAAAATTGCTAGATTCCCCCATCACCATAGTCAGCGTTGATGTGGGAATGCCTCCCGCAGCACTATTGTTTTCTGCTGGCAGGGGACAATGATTACTACTAGCGGCTATAGCTGCTGGCAGCAATCAAATGTAGAAGAGCTGAGAGTCGATCGATGGATGGACTTGGGTACAATCAGCCTGCCTATACATGGATCGAATCTTGGCAAGTCTCTGCTGAATTTCGAACCATGTATGGCCAGCTTTAGTAGGTTGTCCTCTGAGTCCCTGTGCTACTAGAATAACGTAGATAAATCTATTGTCTATGACTCATGATAACTGTGTGAGTCTGTCATATAAGGTCGGGGTACTGCAGGTCAAGCTGGATGGCTTAACAAGTTGGGACTCTGTCACCTCCACCTGGTTCTGGAGGACCATGGGAACCTTCCAGGAGCCAGTGGGTGGAAGAGGTGGAGACCTAATCTGCATGTTTATGGGAGCATGACCAATACAAGGGTTGGTGGCCCTGGTAGAGTGGTGGACCAGCCCATACGCTGGCAGGAGAGTTGGGTGGAAGATGAAGAGCTGAGGAGACTGTCGCTGGCAGGAGAGTTGGGTGGAAGATGGAGAGCTGAGGAGACTGTCGCTGGCAGGAGAGTTGGGTGGAAGATGGAGAGCTGAGGAGACTGTCGCTGGCAGGAGAGTTGGGTGGAAGATGGAGAGCTGAGGAGACTGTCGCTGGCAGGAGAGTTGGGTGGAAGATGGAGAGCTGAGGAGACTGTCGATGGACTCTGACGGGTCCACAAGGTCCTGGGGGTGGTTAGCCTCCAGGCTGGGCTCGGGCTGGCTCAGGAGGGTTAATCAGCCATGAGGCATGAAGAGGATCAAGGCCTGGGAACAGTGGGAGCAAGAAGGACAGAGTGAGTACATCAGCACACCCAGGGATTCACATAGGGAAAGATTGCCACATGTAGCAAGATTTCGAAGGACAGCTCTGTGCCTAACCCTTAATTGTTCTGGGAGATCTTCAGACCAACCAGGAGGGCTAGTAGTGCCTGCAGGCTGTAGAGCTGGGAGCAGTTCTACAGGGGAGAGGAGACATATCTGAATGTAGTTTACAAGTCAAGCTGATTTTCAGAGGGGGATCTGCAAGTCCATCACTCGTAAGGGGCTGTTGCTACTGATCCACAAAGAATGATGGCTTTCAAGAAAAAGAACAGTCCAGGATCTGTTTCTGTAAATAGGAAGCAAGTTGTCTCTGTGCATTGATTCAGCCACGTTGGACATCCCATAATCCCTATTATCCTATCCAAGTTATTTTCCCCTAATAAAATAACAAAAACCAAGCTCATGGACTGTTCACTGACTGTGGATGAAAGTGTGGAAAATGCGTGTTGCCTGGCTGTGCAGGGCTGTTCTACAGATTTTTCCTGGCGCCAAGTGTAGATTTTTTGGCATCTTCAGTCAATGTTCAGCCATAAGGTCCACCAGAAGAGAGACTGGCTTCAGTCTCAGAACAAGTAGCTGGACTAAGATCCAAGATCATTGGTTAGCCTTGATGACTAAACCTTGGCAGCTCTACCACAAAATGGGGCCCCTCTGAAGGTGCAAAGGCCTCCACTAAGTAAAATCAATAAATAAAAAAACACCAGCTGGTCATCTTAAGAGTCCATAAAGGTGTATTGCTGGTAAAATTCAGACCACAAGGGGGTAAAAAGGTAATCAATGCATTTCTGGGGCCAAACAATCCTTCTTGGGGGCTTGGACAAGAACACAATTTTTCCTAGCATATGTCAATGTTGATGTGTTCCTTCCTGTTATAGAACATTATCCTGGAGCCTTTGTTAATAGAGTCCTATAGGGATCAATTGATGACTAAGTCTAGGAAGCTCTACCACAATGAGTGGTTCCCCTAAAGAACTAGGAAATCCCAGTCAATTTTACCCAAAAAAAAGCATTAGCATGCTGTCTTAAGAGTCCATTAATGTTTAATGCTGGAAAAATTTAGACCACAAGAAGGTAAAAAGGTAGCCAACACATTTCCGGGGCCAATTTCCCTTCATCAAGGCTTGAAAAAGAGCCCAATATTTCCCAACACGTCACTGACAATGTTCAGTGCTTCCTCCCTGATATAGAACCTTATCCTGAAGCCTTTGCAAATAGAGTCCTGAAGGAATCTATTGATGACTAAACCTCAGCAGCTCTACTACAAAGCAGGGTTCCCCCAAAAAAGACAAAGGCCTCCACTAGGAAAACCAGGGAAAATCGATAGGAAGTGATCACCAGACAGTCATCCTTAGAATCTATTAACAATTATTGCTAGAAAAATTCAAATCGCAGAAAGGTAATAAGGTATCCAACACATTTCTGGGGCCAAACAATTCTCCTTCAGCAGGACATGATAAAGAACACAATATTATTATTATTATACAGTATTTATAAAGCGCCAACAGTTCGCTCAGCGCTGTACATTACAAAGGGAGACAGAACATGCGACAGTACAATAACAATACAATGTGATACACGAGGGGTTCGAGGGCCCCGCTCTTTCAAGCTTACGATCTAGGAGGGAGGGGATGGTAGCACAGGAGGAGATAGCTGTGGGGGATGGGGTGGTAGGAGGAGTGGAGGAGGTCAGCAATTAGCAGGGGTGGGGTAGGCTTCCCTGAAGAGATGGGTTTTCAGGGTGCGCCTAAAGGAGAGGAGAGTAGGTGATAATCTGATGGGTTGGGGAAGGGAGTTCCAGAGGATGGGTGACACCCTGGAGAAGTCCTGGAGGCGGGCATGGGAGGAGGAGACCAGGGAACTAGAGAGAAGGAGGTCTTGTGAGGAGCGGAGTGTGCGTGCTGGGTGGTACTTGGATATTAGGTCAGTGATGTAGTTCGGGGCAGTATGGTGGACAGCTTTGTACGTCAGTGTTAGGATTTTGAATTTGATCCGTTGCGCAATCGGAAGCCAGTGGAGGGATTGGCAGAAGGGGGGTGGCGGAAATGGAGCGGTTGGAAAGGTGAATGAGTCTGGCCGCCGTATTCAGGATGGACTGAAGCGGGGATAGCCAGCGGCGAGGCAGGCCAGTGAGGAGGGAGTTGCAGTAGTCGAGTCGTGATATGATGAGGGAGTGGATGAGCTGTTTAGTGGTTTCTGGGGTGAGGAACGTGCGGATTTTGGCGATGTTGCGGAGGTGGAGTCTGCATGTTGCGGAGGTGGAGGCGGCACGAGTTTGTTAAAGATTGGACTTGGGGCTGGAAGGATAGGTTGGAGTCCAGAATGACACCAAGTACTCTGGCCTGCGGTGCGGGCCTGATAGTGGCATTGTTGGACGTGATGGAGAAGTCAGTGGGGGGTGGTGTCCGGGCTGGGGGGAAGACTAGGAGCTCGGTTTTGGAGAGGTTCAGTTTAAGGAAGTGGAGCGACATCCAGTCTGATATGTCGTTCAGTAGGCTTGTGATTCGGGCGGAGACCGAGGGGGTGAGGCGAGTATTGCCCAGTACAAGTCTATAGTGACATTTAATACTTCCTCTCTGGTATAGAATAGTATGATTGAGCCTTCACAAATAAAGTCCTATAGGAACCCCATTCAGTTCTTCTCCAAGCCCCGATGAAGAGGAATTGGTTGAACCCCAGAACACATTGGATACCATCTTTCATTACTGTGGTCTGAATTGTATCAGTCATAAACCTTTACGGACTCCTAAGATGACTTTTTGGCACTTTTATATTTCTGATTGTATCTGCTCAGATCTGAGGCATACCACAAAATTATTGCTGTAAAGATTTTGCCCACCTGCGCCAATGTCTATAACAAAGGTCTCTCCTTTTTATTTAAATTGTTCTTTCATTTCCTTAAGTTCCTGCTTAACTTTAAGTCCTCCACACTAGAGATGGGAAGGCCTGGAAAATTTTTGAAAACATTTTTTTCTGTTTTTTTCCAAAGCAGTTTTTTGGGGGGTTTTTCCAGAAAATTTGAAAGAAAAAGAGTAAAATAAGTTCTTAACACATACTGCCGTCTCTGCTTCTACTCTCTGTATTTCTCTGAAACAGTCTGAAATAGTTAATAATTTACCACTTTTCAGTGCATTCTAGGCATTTGGGAGGTTCTCTTGTGCTTATCTTTAAAAAAACGCACATAAACGCCCATAAATGCGCATAAACGACGGTATGCAAACGCGGCTAAAACAGACATTTTTTAACCTACGTTTTCCAGCAGTCAGTTTCCATCGTTCAGAAGTGTCCCGTGTACATGGGGCCTTAGACCCTGGCATAACTCAAATAAGACTGGTTCTCTTTGATCCCTAGACATCCACTTTATTCAGAGAAGTGACAACTTTTAGGTTTTTGGGGGACTGTGAAATATACACAATTATGACCTTCCTTGGGCACAAGGGTGAAAGGAAAACTGTCCCGGAAGCAGCTTACAGCGTAAATCCCACAAATACCTGTTAATGCCGCCAGTGAAGTCCTCATATTTCAAACTTCTGTGATGGTGTGGTAACAATGCTGCACTGCTCCTGAGTTCAGAACAGCATTGTCACTACCATTCAGGCCACATGTGTCAAACCACACAAGGCCCTTGGGTTGGGTTGAATCCGTCCCGCCAGGCCATTTCATGTGCCCCTAGCACCTGTCCTGCATCTGTGGCACCCCCTTTTCTCCGCCCCCAAACGTCTGTGATGGGTGGTAACAATGCTGCACTGCTCCTGAGTTCAGAGCAGCATTGTCACTACCATTCAGGCCACATGTGTCAAACCACACAAGGCCCTTGGGTTGAGTCCATCCCGCCTGGCCATTTCATGTGGCCCTCGCACCTGTCCTGCATCTGTGGCACCCCCTTGTCTCTGCCCCCAAACGTCTGTGACACAAGCTGCACTGCTCCTGGTGGAGCAGCATTGTCACTATCATTCAGGCCACATGTGTCAAACCACACAAGGCCCTTGGGTTGAATCTGTCCCGCCAGGTCATTTCATGTGGCCCTCGCACCTGTCCTGCATCTGTGGCACCCCCTTGTCTCCGCCCCTATAACACATACTGCCGTCTCTACAGCAGAGAGGAGGACAGAACTCCTCCGCCAGATCCTGCACTTCTCGGTGCAACTGTGGAGAGGCTTTTATCTATCCCACCAGCCCTCCCCCATCTCCACTGTTGGCAGCAGAGAGGAGGACAGAAATCCTCCTTATTTTTAAAAAACGCTTCTAAACGCAAACGCTCATAAAAGCACATAAATGTGCGCGTTATGCAAACATGGCTAAAGAGGCGTTTTTTAACCTACGTTTTCCAGCAGTCAGTTTCCATCGTTCAGAAGTGTCCCCCGTACATGGGGCCTTACAGGTTACAGCCAGGGGCGGACTGACAACTCATGGGGCCCCCAGGCAATAGGGGATCATGGGGCCCCTGTGTCCTTGCCCAAACTCAAAAAAGCCTATGAAAAAGGTACCAGGAGCATCTCATGGGGCCCTCTACTGACCCCGGGCCCTCGGGCAGTGCCCGAGTTTCCAAATGGTCAGTCCGCCCCTGGTTACAGCACACCTAAATTGTTAGCCCCAATCTTGAACCACCAAGGGTTGCCTTACCCATCCATCCAACCCCCAGTTAATTTTTATCCCTTGATGTATTTTTCCCATTATGGGCGTAAGCGGGACCTCATGTCTACATTTTGCCTAAGTGCAAAACGAAATGAAAACGAGAAGCGCACCAACCTTGCGCATTACCTCAGCAACCAAAATGTATATTAATTATAAATTATATTAATTATTTATTTTGGTAATGCGCAAGGTTGGTGCGCTTCTCGTTTTTATTTCGTTCTGCAGTATTGGTCGGGCTTCCCCAGCCTTGTTTGGAGCCGCACAACCCTACATGCATTGGTGGTCGATTTTTCCAGGTCTGGTTCCATCCATTCGCCACCCGTCTGGGTCCTAGAGCGCAGGAGAATTCGTTTTTGATTTACATTTTGCCTAAGGCCTCACAAAGCCTGGAGCCGCCTCTGTATCTGGTAAGCCCCTTGGGGTGTTTGTCTGGTGGTGGAGGCATCCTTGGCATGGGACCTTGGATTCACTTCCACGTCGTTATCACACGGAGTTTATTGCACTGAAGGTTTATTCTCTGGTATACGCTTGTGTTTAGATTGATTTATTATTGTTGATGTATGATGTTTTTTTTTTTACTTTTCTTTAACCACTTCCCGACCGGCCGTTGTATATAAACGGCCAGACGGTGGCAGTGCAGAGTCGGGTGACTGTTTATCAATGGCCTCCCTGCACCCTGCTTGTGCTCGCTCCCTGAGAGCGCGCAGCACCGCGATCCGGTGCCCGCTGTGTCCTCCGGACACAGTGAAACACCGATCGTCGGACGGGACCTCTGTACGAGGTCCCGATCATGTGATCACTGATTGGCCAATCAGTGATCACATGCAAAGTAGTAAGCAAGATGTCACTTGTGACATCATTGCTTACTACGTGTGAAATCTGTGAATGATCACAGAGGTCACATGGTACAAGCCTATTCACAACAGCCTTGTACCATGTGACAAGCTGTGACCAATCACAGCTCACTTAGTACTTCTCAATGAGTGCAGGAATGCAGACAGAGAGAAAGAGAAATGATTGCTTTTACATCCTATATGGGTGTAAAAGCAATCAGTGTAAAAAAAAAAAAAAAAATCTTCATCACCCCCCACAAGTAGTACAGTGTCACCATGGTGACACTGTACTGCTAGGGTGACAGTATGTAAAAAATAAAAATAAAAAAAAAATATAAAAAAATAAAATAAAAATGTAAAAAAAAATGTTTAAAAATTATAATTTTTGTTATAAACTAATTTGGATTTTTTTTTCACTAAAAAGATAACGGAATAAATTTTGGCAAAGATTTATGATGCAATATTATTTATTTGCAAAATTTTATAAAAAAAAAACACTTTTTTTCCAAATTTTTGGACTTTTTCATTTACATAGCAATAAAAATAAAAATCCCAGCGGTGAATAAATACCACCAAAATAAAGCTTTATCTGTCTCAAAAAAATGGTAAAAAATTCATTTGGGTACAGTGTTGCATGACCGCGCAATTGTCATTCAAAGTGTGATAGCGCTGAAAGCTGAAAATTGCCCTGGTTCGGACTGGAAGGGGGTAAAAGTGTCCGGACTGGAAGGGGGTAAAAGTGTCCGGTCTTGAAGTGGTTAAAAATTCCCACTTTGATTTAGTCATTATTTGGCCATGGAACATATCTTGCAGCTTTGTATTGGTATATTTTCCCACTAAACGGTTACTTTTGATTCCGAGAAATTCTCCAGGTATTCTCATTATTATATTTATCTGAACTCAGAGGTTTCCATGTCACCTTGTCAGGAGATTGACCACATGTCTAGCTGATATGTAAGTGCAGCTACAGGTGAAATGGGTTCCCATTACATTACCGGCGCGTTCAATTACATTAATAGAGGATGACATGCAGACTAGCAGTCACTGCCGACATCATCCTCCTGAACTCAGGCCAAATCTTCCCAGTCGCTCGCGGAGCCGCGAGGAGCATGGCTGCCTCTGCAAACAGCTGGCGATGCCGGTGTTAATTCAATGTCTTATTAGTACTTTATGTTCCAAGTGGAAAGAAAATAAACAATCTATTCTCTCCCCCAGATGGTACAGTAAAATCCCTCCTAGAGTTTCTCTAGGCTTGTTCTGCTGGAGAATTATGTGTCAATCCGAGGCAAGGCTCCAAAAGATGGTGAATGCGTCAAGGTGCGGGCATCTGGAAATACACGGTGCATCATGGGAGTTCCAAAATCAGCAATGGCTTTATGTATGAAGACTCAGGACACCTGCCCTACTATGAGAACGGCTCTAATGAGACCTTGGGGATCACAGCAAGCTATCATTGCTCCAGGAAGCAAGCAATTCCGTCCCTTTACTGCCCGCAAAACGCCGCCATTCCGATAAAGCAAAGTCCATGTTTAACTAAATTACATGATAGGCTTCAGTCATATTAAGCAGGGCTTTCTGTGTACTTCCAGGTAAAAATACCCGCATGGAAGAAAAATATATTTGAAATATATTTCAAAAATATTCTTACCAATTATATTGACATTTATTTGAAATGCTACAATTTTGGCCGTATTCAATATATATTTCAAAATGTGATTCAATAAATATATACAGTGAAGGAAATGAGTATTTTTGCTCCCCGGCTGATGTTGAATGTTTGCACACTCACAAAGAAATGATCGGTCTAACAATCAAATGTTCGGTGTATTGTAACACTGAGAGACATGTCTAATAAATGATGACGGATCTGCATGTTCATGAGGGAAATAAGGATTTGATCCCCTTCACAAAACATGACTTAGCACTTGGTGGCAAATCCCTTGTTGGCAATCACAGAGGTCAGACGTTTTTTGTAGTTGGCCCCCAGGTTCGCACACATCTCAGGAGGGATTTTGGCCCACTCCTCTTTGCAGATCCTCTCCAAGTCATTAAGGTTTGGTGGCTGACATCTGGCAACTCGAACTTTCAGCTCCCTCCACAGATTTTCAATCGGATGAAGGTCTGGAGACTGGCTAGGCCACTCCAGGACCTTAATGTGCTTCTTCTTGAGCCGCTCCTTTGTTGCCTTGGCCGTGTGTTTTGGGTCATTGTCATGCTGGAACACCCATCCACGACCCATTTTCAATGCCCTGGCTGAGGGAAGAAGGTTCTCACCCAAGATTTGATGGTACATTGCCACATCCATCGTCCCTTTGATGCGGTGCAGTTGTCCTGTCCCCTTAGCAGAAAAACACCCCCAAAGCAGAATGTTCCACCACCATGTTTCACAGTTGGGATGGTGTTCTTGGGATCATAGGCAGCATTCCGCCTCCTCCAAACACGGCGAGTTGAGTTGATGCCAAGGAGCTCGATTTTGTTCTCATCTGACCACAACACTTCCCACCAGTCCTCCTCTGCATCATTCAGATGTTCAGTGGCAGACTTCAGACGGGCCTGGACATGTGCTTTCTTGAGCAGAGGGACCTTGCGGGCACTGCAGGATTTCAGTCCTTGTCGGCGTAGTGTGTTACCAATTGTTTTCTTGGTGACTGTGGTCCCAGCTGCCTGGAAATCATTGACAAGATCCTCACGTGTAGTTCTGGGATGATTCCTCACTGTTCTCATGATCATTGACACCCCACGAGGTGAGATCTTGCATGGTGCACCAGATCTAGGGAGACTGACACTTGTTTTGTGTTTCTTCCATTTGTGAATGATTGCACCAACTGTTGTCACCTTCTCACCAAGCTGCTTGGCCATAGTTTGGTAGCCCTGTCCAGCCTTGTGTAGGTCTACACTCTTGTCCCTGACATCCTTGGACAGCTCTTTGGTCTTTGCCATGGTGGAGAGTTTGGAATCTGATTGTTTGATTGCTCCTGTGGACAGGTGTCTTTTATACAGGTAACAAGATTAGCAGCACTCCCTTTAAGAGACTGCTTCTAATCTCAGCTTGTTACCTGTATGAAAGACACCTGGGAGCCAGAAATCCTGCTGAATGATAGGGGATCAAATACTTATTTCCCTCATGAACATGCAGATCAGTCATCATTTGTTAGACATGCCTTTCTGCTGAATTTGTTGTTGCTATTCTGTCTCTCGGTGTTACAATACACCGAACATTCGATTTTTAGACCGATCATTTCTTTGTGAGGGGCGACATTCAACATCAGCCGGGATCAAATACTTATTTCCTTCACTATATATAAATGCGTTTTTATTACAAAATGTATGAAAAATATGTTTAAAAATACATTTCAAATATACTGTATGTCTTTAAAAATACAAATCTACATTTTTGGAATGCATTCTTCCCAAATATATTGACATCTATTTGAAATGCTACCATTTTGGCCGTATTCAATATATTTCAAAATATATTTCATTAAATATATATATATATATATATATATATATATATATATATATATATATATATATATTATACAGTATTTATAAAGCGCCAATAGTTCGCTCAGCGCTGTACATTACAAAGGGGGACAGAATATGTGACAGAGCAATACCAATACAATGCAAAACATGAGGGGATTGAGGGCCCTGCTCTTTCCAGCTTACAATCTAGGGCCCTCTATCCCCTCATGTTTTGCATTGTATTGGTATTGTTCTGTCACATATTCTGTCCCCCTTTGTAATGTACAGCATATATACACTTACACACACAAACTGCATGCTGAAATGCATTTTTATTACAAAATATATGAAAAATATTTTTAAAAATACATTTCATGTATACTGTATGTCTTTAAAAATACAAACCTACATTTTTGGAATGCATTTACAAATATATGCAAAAATATATGTTAAAATTACTTTTTTATATGATAAAAAAAATCTGAAGAATATATTTAAAATATATTTATTTTTAAAAATATTTTTCATATATTCTGTAATATATAGAAAAACGCATTGCAACATGCAGTGTGTGTGTATATATATTTTATTTTTTTATTTATTTTTTAAATATATTGAATATGGCCAAAAATGTCAATATATTTGGGAAGAATATTTTTAAAATATATTTTAAATATATTTTTCTTCCACGTGGATACAGCCTCTTGCTAACCACTTTTTACTATCAGGGGTGTAAATAAATTCTCTCTGGTTTCATGACATATTCCACTTATACTATATAAGAAGTGAGACGTGAGTACAAAATGAGTCTTAATAATTCTACAAGATTGTTACAACTGATGCAATATTTAAACACATCTACTGCCCAACAGACCACCAATCAGCCTTAAACAGACCACTCAGGATGAATTGCTATCTCCCCCCCCCCCCCACACACACACATAATCTAACCACATGGACCACAATGAAGCATGTTTCCTAAATGTTCTGTATCTTTCATAAGTAATCTTTTCAAATGAAATCAATGTATTCAATTTGGAATACCATTTTACCACTGAGGGTGGTATATAGGAGAACCATCAAAGGACTCTGTGTGCTGCAAACACTGATCCAGTAATAGTGCAATAGTGAGGGAACTGTGTGCATCTACATCGGTTGAATCAAAGTATCCAAGGAAACATGTTAACGAGATATTGCTACAATGTACTCCAAACACCTGATTGATCCTATCTATTACTTTGCCCCAATATCAAACCAGTTTTGAGCTCCACAGTAAGAGACTAGGGGCACCCTGGAGGGGGGATCTACTGTACATTTGGTACAGTCAGGTAAGCCACGTACACCTATCCTGTGGAAGAATACAGAGGTTCAATTTCCCCTGTAGACTATAAAACGTTTGCATCAATTTGTGAGTAGGTGATAAGGAGACTTGGGTTCTTGGTCGTCTGTCTTTCTCAGGCACATAGCCACTTGCCGCAAGGGCTGGGGAGCATTATCTGTTGAAGGCCAGAGGAAATCCTTTGGATCACTGGCTCTCGTCTAGACCACTGTTAGTTGTCCTTGCAGATTTT